TTTCTTTACCATGATGGTAAAAAAAAGACCTAGCGGTGCTTTGTCCAGATTTGAAGTCATTTGACATGGGTATCTGCAATGAAGCCTTATATATCTCTGACAGTAAGCTGACAGTCAGCTATGCTCTCAGGGACCATCTGCATATCTGATTTAACTACAAGAAGAGTGAGCAGAACCATAGACATTGTCCATTAAGTACACCTAGACTGAGGAAAGCTTTATGTAGGTCAGGGAATAGCACGGAAGCCCATCTAGTTTATTGTTTTATGAGTACTTCCTTCTGACTGCATTCTTCAGATGAAGCTACGTTCTTCATTTTGCAGCTTAAGCTCCCAATGTACAGATGCTCTGACTGATATTTCATACAGAACACAAATGTTCTCATTTTAACAAATGTAAATATGGATGCCTAAAGTGAGATTTTAGTCCTGGTATTCAGAAAGAGACAATTGTCTAACCACTGGATTCAGTTCTAATTGGTCATCATCTGACATAATCAAAAGGTTTATCATTTTCATTTCAATTTTTGGTTCTCTGCAGCTATATTTGGATGAAGTTTCTTGAACACTGAACATGCAATCAACCAACAGCCCTATAAACTTTGTAGATATGGTGCATGTTAAATGTGCAGCCGAAACCAATGTTTGCTCTAAAACAAGATATCTAAGAATGTTGATACCACTGAGAACAGAGCTTTTTCCTGTCCAAATTGTTTCCTCTGTTACCATAATTTATACTATTGCAGCGATATTTATGGCCAATGTGAAGCAAATTCTATATTTGGCATATTCCTTAGATCAGGAAATTCCTTGAGAATTGGGAGCTTCTCCAAAACTCAACCAAAGTTATTCTTTACCCAGTGGTGTGTATGTTTCACTATAGAGATGATCTATTTCTTGACAGAAACAAAATGGAATTTTTAAAACAAAAAACACAGAGAAAACAGCCAAGAGCAGATGTGCTACCTATGGAAAGAGCTGCTTTCACAGGAGAATCAGTTCATTTATCAGTTATCTCTTGGGGACGCATTGGGAAAGAAATTAATTCCACAGTCACAAAGAACAGGGCTGAACTGCATGGAGAATATTTTGAAGGACCAAAGGAAATACCTAGAAGTTAAATTTTAATTTTAGTTGTTTTCCTTCATTACAGTTACCAAATGCTTTTCTTCCACATAAGCTTTCTAGAACTACTGTTCACCTATTCTGCTTGGGCTGTTTCTACTTAATCCTCCTGCTAAAAATACTCTGCCCTTTCTGTTTGCAGAGCAATATTCCTCCTTTTACCAATACTTACGTCCATAATACTAAACATTTATTGCAGATATAGTTGCTCTCAACAATTTGTTGCATTCAAATCAGCCATGCTTATTCAGATACAGTGGGCTCATCCTCACTTCCTCCTAATCATGGCACAAATATTCTCATGAAATTGTTTGTTTGTGCTGTATCCTCATGGCATTGTCTTTGTCTCATCTCCAGCCTGCAGATGAAGTGACTTAAAGTTGCCTTTAATAATTTCAGTTTAGAGTAGCATTTTCTCTCTTCACTAATATAGGGCATATTCTAGGTTGCTTCCTTGAAAGCACTTCAGTGATGAAATACATTCAGCCCTTATGGGCCACTGTAGGCTGTTGGCCCATCAAGCCACACCCACAGAACCAGTAGTAAAAAAAATTGGATTTCACCACTGATAATTTCCCATATTCCAAGAAAATGTATTTAATTAATTATTTAACTTTGTATGCAGGCAGCTCAAATCTCAACAACTCTGAAAGCAGTTCGGGAAGGGAAGGGAAGGGAAGGGAAGGGAAGGGAAGGGAAGGGAAGGAAGGAAGGAAGGAAGAAGGAAGGAAGGAAGGAAGGAAGGAAGGAAGGAAGGAAGGAAGGAAGGAAAATACAATCTAGGACTGTCAGGTCTTCAAGCCCATTCAAAACACAAGTGGGGGGGGTGCGCTATTTGGATATGTGGGGGAACATCATTCCAATATCAGCAATGCTCCAAACTCCAGTGCTACAGAGAAAGTGGGCTTCTGGAGTCCCTATATATGACATTGTTTAAGCAAAGGAATCCAGAATGCACCAGCCCTGCCTGGTGAAGCACCAGATAAATTGACTAGATAGAAACTATGGAAGATGGCAGTCCCTCAGATAACCAGCCCTATGCCAAAAAGGCTTTATAAATAACAACCAGCACCTTGAATTGTAGCTAGAAGCAAACTGGTAATCAGTACAGCTCACAAAGCATGCCCCTCATTGTCACACTAAAATTACTTAGACTTTTTGGGTGTAGGAGGAAAAAACAGACAGTAGGATTTTCCCCATCCAGAATTTCTCCTCCCCACCCCAATTGAAAGATGTTTATTTTGGTTGCACAGCTGAATTTTTATTTTTTGCTATATTGACACAATCTGTAAATAGAGACTCTGGCATAAAAAGAATGTAGAGGTATATTTGAACAGCAAGGTGCTGAGAGGAGCTTCATCTATTTAAGTGGTATGGAAAGAAGTGAATTATTTCTGTAACATATGACATCATATTTTCCTGCTGGAAGGCAGCCACTTCTTGGTTCTAACATCTTACAGGGGGAAAAAATTGGCTGAAGGCAAAGACCAGAAAATGGTTTTGTATATAAAAGCTAACAAAAAAGCAACAGGGTCCTACATCGCATCTGGCTTGTGTACAGCTGCTATTTGCTTTAACCAGGTAATTGCAGACATTTGGAATAGTTTTTATACAACTCATATCCATAAATCTCAGTTCAGTTTTATGGAAGATCTGGAACTCTGTTTTATAGGAATAGGAAGGAGAGGTATCAAAAAGTCATGCAGATGTGCTTACACGGATACACCTGTCACTACCAACTTGAATACTATTCATCTGGACATGATGACCATGATTACGTGTCATCAAGTCACTGTTCATTCTTAGCGGCCACAAAGGTAGATTTTCTCCATGATGATTTATCTCTAAAGTAGTGTTTCAGGTCTTTCCTGAAAAGCCAAGGTGGCGCAGTGGTTAGAGTGCAGTACTGAAGGCTACTTCAGCTGACTGCTAGCTGCAGTTCGGCAGTTCAAATCTCACTGGCTCAAGGTTGACTCAGCCTTCCATCCTTCCAAGGTAGGTAAAATGAGGACCCAGATTGTTGGGGGCAATATGATCACTCTGTAAACTGCTTAGAGAGGGCTGTAAAAGCACTATGAAGCAGTATATAAGTCTACGTCCTGTTGCTATTGCTATTGCTATTGCTATTGCTTTCAATAGTGCACCACGGTAACTGTAAGCTTACTGCTGATTGTCCTTCTCTCTGGCTGATCTCAAAGAGACTAGCTGACACATATAATTTGAGGATAGACACACAAATTGGCAAGTATGGGGTCCTGAGCTTGGTTGTTTTCTTGCAGATATTTCATTATCCAACTAGGTAACTTTATCAGTACTAGAAGGGAGTGGAGTTTGTCCTCTTTTTATATTGCTCATTCAATTGGCAAGTTTTGAAAGTGGGTTAACATGCAGTGAATAAAGAATTGTCCTGTTTGACACATTCAGCCTTTCCATATCATTCCTATGTTATAGATGTATTTTGCAGTCAATGATGTTCCATTTGAAAAACTATTGTGACCAATGGCAACCACTAAAAGGCAACAAAAAGTGAGATTAAGTTACATCTCTTTCTTACCACTAAGTGATCGTCTAATTTCTGCAGCACAGATGTTGAATCTCTATTCTCCACACATATTTTTGTACTATAGAAGTGTTTTTTAAAGTATTGAATGGATGAACTCAATTAGAGAAAAATAATACCTCTGAAAACAAAGTTTCCTTTCCAACATTGAAATGTGGAAAATAATGTATTTAGATTCTAGTAAATAATCAAGATCATAAAGTCAAAATTCATAGCATAAGAACCACAACATGGCATTCAATAAACCAAAATAAAGTGTTTGAAGAGAACATCCTACTCTACAAAAGATAAAGTTCATTTAATATCAAACTTGTAAAATTTCCCTAAAGAAACACAGATTACTCTGTAGCTCTGGAAAAACTCATTTCAATGGGTAGCTGGACATTTGGCCTATTTCAGTATATCCCCATTACAAATCTTAATAAAATGTAACTGCATGGAAAATGGTATCGTATGTGCATTCCTGAAATGGTGCAATGACCTTCCTAGCTTGTAATTCTGGCAGTATAAAGATAAATCCTCAACTGTTAACAAATTTGGGCAGCCATAATATTATAAAGAATTATTCAAATATTGACCATATATGTTAAAGCATGGATTTTGTCATTTTGAAGTAGAAATAAGATGTGCTTGACTATTGAGGGGTGGTATCAGGGGTGAAATCCAGCAGGTTCTGACAGGTTCTGGAGAACCGGTAGCAGAAATTTTAAGCAGTTCAGAGAACCGGTAGCGGAAATTTTGAGTAGTTCGGAGAATTGGCAAATACCACCTTTGGCTGGCTCCAGAGTGGGGTGGGAATGGAGATTTTGCAATATCCTTCCCCCAGGAGTGGGGAAGGAATGGGGATTTTGCAGTATCCTTCACTTGAAGTGGGGTGGGAATGGAGATTTTGCAGTATCCTTTCCCTGCCACGCCCACCAAGCCACACCACACCCACCAAGCCACGCCCACAGAACCGGTAGTAAAAAAAATTGGATTTCACCACTGGGTGGTATGAAATGTTTCCTTTGCTGTCTGCATGCTATGAAAAGGGGTCATGGTTGAGAAATCACCAACCCAATCTCATCCCTAAATTCATATTTCTGCATTGAAAGAGAAAATCATGCATGATTATTTCCATATGGTTAGTCAGCTTTCCCCTCAACATGCTAATAACCATTTTCATGCTACTGCAACAACAACAAAAAAAAACACCCCACAACCCCCCCCCAATAGTTGCCCCACCTTCTCATTGTTGCCATCCAGAACTTCCTCCAGCCAGCCAATGGGATAATTGCTTTGTTTTGACTGTTCTCTTCTTGACATTACCATTTCAGAGAAAGGGAACAGAAGTTAAAGAAAGGAAAAATAGACAAACACCATGAGAGAAATATCAAAAGCCTTTCCTCTATTCACAAGGGAAAGGGTGAGAAAGAAACTAAGGCTCTTCTACCAAGTCATCTCATCCTGTAACCTGGAAGGAACTGCTTCAAAACTGACATAGGGAAGCAAAATGGAGACTGTGCATAATGTATACACCTTAAAATCAAAATTGAATCAGTGCATATGTAACTTGGTGAAGGATCAGTCTTAAGCTGCCATTGGTTTTGTTCACATAGGGTGCCATCAGTTCTGCAAGATTTCTGGCAGCCTTTCCCAGCCATAGCTGGAGATGCTGGGGATTTAACTTTGATCTTCTTGCAACTGACATATGCACTTTGCCTCTGAGCAATAGCTCTTCCTCTAATTGTTAATCCAAGAAATAGAAATAAGACGTGCAACGAAACCAGAACTTGTTCCAAGTAAAATCTTAAACAAGACACAACTAAGGATGTTTCTTGGCAGTTGGTCTTACTTTTGGCACAGAGAGTTGGCACTCAGGTAATTTGCTTGAAGGTAATGCAGAATTTCTGGCACTCTTCAAATAAAAAGAAGTTTGTAGGCTGTAGAAGTTGTGCAGGTACAGATGTTTCCATGACATCCAAGAGCTGTATATTTTGCAGTTTGTCCTCTTCAAAACTGCTTCGTGGAAGTTTCATAAACACTGCTGATTCCACTCTGCCTTGCTTTCTTTGACAATCTTCTAAACTGTGCAAGGGAAAAATCAGCATATGATCATTTCTTCACTGCACCTGAAGAACAGTATACTTTTCTTCATGCTTCTCTGTCACTATCATGTCAACTTCCCTCAGGAATGACCTAGCTTTGGGGACAAAATGTGAGACTTCAGTTGGAAGCATTCCAATATTCTTCATGCTATATCTACTGAAAATGATATACTTTTGGGTTTTTTTCTTGTCCACTTAACAATTCCTTTAATTTTAAAAAATCTAACTAGTCTTCCTGATGCTACGTTTTTATTAGCATCCACATCATTGTGTAAAGACTAGTTCTTTCTTCACACTTTTCTTTGTTATGTTAATCATTAGAGGAAGTCCTGTTAAAGATATATTTAGGGAGAAAACATAATTGACATTGGATGTATTATTAATAATTCAAAGTCAATATCAGCAGTTTCCAGTTATGAAATGGTAATTTGTTGTCAGACCCAAGCAATAACCCAATAGGTAAAGAATTCAAGTGGAGTACTTTATTGCAATTCTACCTATAATGCAGGAATCTCTCCCCAGAGTGCTTGCCTTCGCTTGGGAACAGATAGATTAGATTCCATGGAGCTTGGTGGGGGAGAGGGAGGGGAGATCAGTCCTGGATCTCTTGCAGTTGCACAATGATTCAAGGCTAACTCCTCACTTGATTCCTCTTCCCTGCCTGGCTGGATATTTCCCAACATCTATCTACCTAGTGATGTCTTAATACTTTCACAGGTAAATCTACATGAAGATGTAGATTTCAGGATGGTCTATGCCAAGACTTTGGTGGCCACAGTTGCAGCCAAAACGTAATTTTCTGAATATGCTTGAGAGACAAGATGCATATGCCCCCTCAGCTTCCTAAGACTTTGGAAAGAATAAATAGCAAATCTAACAACCTACACACATGCATACAATTATAAAGCATTCCCAAGGAACCAAAATATGTATGAGATAAGAGGGGAAGTCTTCCAAATCAGTATTTGGTGTGATCTTTTGTATCCACTTCATCAATCCAATTGCTGCCTGCTGTTATCCCAGCTTATTCTATTCTATTTTAATTTTAACACCAGAAGATCTGCAAATAGATTTTAATATTACTATGGAAAAATTCAATCCCTATTAGGACACACAATTAATCTTGACAAATGATAACAGAGAGAGAGTTTGACGAGCCAGAGATAGGGATGTGGAACCACTTTAAGCAGGCATAGTTTTCCCATGAACAAGTGATTTGAGGGACAAGTGACTTCACTTGTCTGATGAGCTACTACTGTGGTGATTCTTGGATTGACTTACATGCCATTGCAAATGACACAAGATGAATGTTCCTCTTGGGAGAGGCAGACATTCTGACCTCAGCTGCTCAGGGAAGCTTTGTGGATGATTGTGACTGTGTACATTCTTGAGAAACAAAACAAGACATTCAGAAATTGGCCACAAATTCTTCCTTCAATTTCTGTTTTAATCCTTCTTTTGTCTAGAACTTAAGAATGTGTCTTCCATGTTTTCAAACCAGAGATGCAGATCAGTGGTGGGTTTCAAATTTTTTTACTACCGGTTATGTGGGTGTGGCTTGGTGGGCATGGCATGGCTTGGTGGGCATGGCAGGGGAAGGATGCTGTAAAATCTCCATTCCCTCCCCACTCCAGTGAAAGGTTACTGCAAAATCCATATTTCCTCCCGATCAGCTGGGACTTGGGAGGCAGAGAATAGATGGGGGCGGGACCAGTCAGCATTTTTTACTACCAAACTACTCAAAATTTCTGCTACAGGTTCTCCAGAACTGGTCAGAACCTGCTGAAACCCACCTCTGATGCAGATGGCTTGGAATAAATTTTTCTCTCCTACTATCTATAACCATATTTGCATCCATAGAGGTTCTAAGAAGAGTGTTGAGTGCATGTCACCAAACACTCAGTTGCAAAGCTGGACATCAGTAGCAGCTTTATTCACATGCAATTCCTTTTTAAAATATATACATGTATTTTCTATGAGTATACTAAGTTCTGACTGTCCAAAGAGTAGCTCATAAGAATTAATTATTGTTTTTATTTACCAAATGTCAATGCCTTGAGGGAGGGGGATTCAATATAGTTCCCACATATTCTTTCAAGGATGTAAAACTAATATCTCTTTTGAAATTTTAGCAGTTGCAATTCTGGAGAAAACAAATCTCATTAAGGAAATTTACATAATAATATTAATTTCAATTTAAATGTAGTCATCTTTGTATCAAAATTAATGAGGTTTAATTTAGAAGTCGGTATCCAAAGATTAAATGCAAAATTTAATGCTTGACCATAAATATAACCGTACTGAAATCATTCTTTGTTGCATTTACAACAAAGAAAGTTGTCATGGAAATTTTCCCATGTAGTGGGCAGTATTTTAGGAGAGGATTTTTGTACATAATATTGTTTTATGATTATTATATACAAAACCCACAACAAATCATTACAAATAATTTTCCCTACTTCTAAGAAATGGGTGACACACAAAATATCATTTAATTGAATAAAACATTGCTTGCTGTTACATCTGTCATCATAATTCATTATTTTTATAATTGTTCAGTGAAGTCCAGATTTTGATCCTTATTTATCTGGGAAGTTGGAATTATTGGGCATGCTTCAGCTTCGCATGAAGACATGAAACATAATGCTCCTTCACTGACAAATAAGGAACACTGATGAGGGACTGAGGGAAAAAGAGAATTTTGGAACCCAAACTGTATCTTTTTCTTCTTCTACACCTGGTGTAAGACAAACAACTCAGTTGTTCCTAAACTCTTCACCTTCAGCATAGACATGCAAGGAAATCTCTTTCCCAGATGGGAATTCAGGTCAAAATTTGCTGATTTGTTGACTCTTGAAAAAAGGCATTTATTCTGCCAATTACTCTACACCAGTGCAAATTAAGAAGGCAAAAGAGAGGAGGTCACTGTTTGATGTCAACCATGTGTTAATTTTAGTCTCTAAGTAGATGGGTCTTATTTCAGAGAAAATAAAAACTCCTTGTCAAATCCTTGCACTTAGTTAACCATCACTAACTGTAGACCAAACCATAATTATATGAAGTTATGTAGAACACATGGGTTTTAATGGCCAAGTTTCTTTAGGATCAGGCTGCTATTCTACCACATCCCAAGAACCTGGAGTGGGTGGGGGTAGGTGGGAATATTGGAAGCTTTTACTAGAGCTTTTACTCACAATTATCCCTCTAACTAAACAGTCAAGGGGATTTTAAAAGCTTAGTCTCCACACAATTTTCAGAAAAATATCAGAAGTTGTCAAAAACTGCCTAAAACACATAATGTAAGAACACATATGAAAACAGATAATGATAAAACACTTAAAGTTGATTTACTGAGTTATTTCAATAACTTGAATAAATAATTAAATCACGGGAGCAAGGTCTCAGGAAAACAGATAGGATTTACCACATGGGTATCAAACTTGAGGCATCATGTTGCTGTCACATGGCATATCGTGATGTTCCCCCTTTGCGGAGCTGGAGTGGGTGTGGCCTATGTGTGATGCATCTGGCCTGCAGTTTGACACCCCTGATTTTACCACTCTCTTCTTGCAATTGCTTCATTCTTCACAAGTGTTTAACCATTGTCTATTTTCATATGGGGGTGCATCAGGGGTGAAACCCAGCAGGTTCTGACAGGTACTGGAGAACCGTAGGAGAAATTTTGAGCAGTTTGGAGAACCAGTAGCGGAAATTTTGAGTAGTTTGGAGAACTGGCAAATACCACCTCTTGCTGGCCCCAGAGTGGGGTGGGAATGGCCCACCAAGCCACGCCCACAGAACCGGTAGTAATAATTTAATTTAATTTAATTTAATTTAATTTAATTTAATTTAATTTATTCAATTTATATGCCGCCCCTCTCTGAAGACTCAGGGCGGCTCACAATACATTTTTAAAAATCATTATAAAAACATTTAAAAATTAAAAACATTAAAAACATTAAAAACTCATTCACGCCATTCATGGCCGGATCTCGCCAGATCACAAGAGCGAGATCAACGGCCCCAGGCCTGCTGGAAAAGCCAGGTCTTCACCGCTTTTCGGAAGGCCAATAGGGTGGGGATGGTCCGGACCTCAGGAGGTAACTGGTTCCAGAGAGCTGGAGCAGCCACAGAGAAGGCCCTCCCCCGCGGGCCCACCAGCCAGCATTGTTTAGCTGACGGGACCCGGAGGAGACCAACTCTGTGGGATCTTACCGGTCGCTGGGAGCTATGCGGCAGAAGGCGGTCTCGAAGATTTGGATTTCACAACTGGGGTGCATCTCAGCAAAAATTGGGAAGAATTCTTCCACTACAAGATAACATCTCCCATCTGCCTTTTTTAAGATCAGGAAATATTATCAAGCAGGGAGGTTCTAAACTGGAGGCTCTGC